CCGAATCACCACGTTGAACCCTATGATACAACTCTTGAAGGAAAGAAGAGACGCCGACAACTGTCCCGATCCAAAACACACAAAAGCTGCCAACCTAAAACATTGGAAATAAATGTATAAGCCCTTGATAATTTTGGACTGGGCCCACAAATATAAAGAGGAGCCAAACTCAAAATATGGTGCCGATAAACTCTCTTGCCTGGACCAGTCGGTCTGGCCTCTAGACGCAGGAAAGGGAACCCTCGCTCTCGTGAGTCCTACTTCAGAGGAGATGCTTATGTGTCACTATTTTCATAAGACTCCATCACCCGAGCCTGAGAGATCCTTTTGTGGAGGAGTACACAACTTATGTTGAAGTGTGGGTTAGTGGAGCTTGATGAAAATACTATAACATGATATCTAAGGGGATTGAGATTGTTCATTGACAATGTGGTATAGCTGTTGTCTTATTGGACATTACAAGATGTCCAAACCCTAACCCTGAAGGTGGAGAGGTAACACAACAATATCAGGTCCACACAGTCTCCAAACAAAGCTCAACCATTGGATTTGACATCAAGAGTGCACCTAGTGAAGCACCCATGCTAACCCAATCAAAGGAGGAACCTATACATAGTGGAGAAATGGTGGAGCCCTTCAGTACTTCCAAATCCATCGCCGCCAGTAAATGCTTCAAGTGTTATAATTTTGGCCACGTGGCATTCAGTTACCCAACCATGAGGGTAATTTTTTCACCGAGCAGGGAGCAATTAAAAAAGTGGATAGCGGCACATGAGAGGATAAATACTTCAAAGAGAAATTTCAACTTCCAACCAACAAAGATGAGACACTAGTGATTCAAATTGAGCCCACGAGAGAGACTTTTTGGATTAAGATCGGTTGTTCGAAAAGGTAGTGAGCCTGAGAAGTTGGTATCAGAAAAAAGGCAGCCTTTATTGAGAGAGTCATTAGATATCCTGATAGACTATTTATCTATTGGGTGGTTGCCACTGAGAGTGGTCCAACATGCCACATATTTTATTCTAGAGTTAGTTTCTTCTGATAGACTTGTTTATTGGATGCGCAGAGCTGAGCACAAGAAGTGGGAGAAACATGTTATATATTTAATAGCTTGAAACTTGGCTCGTTAGAAGGTCTGCCTATTTGCAACTCCAACTTTGGTTGTGCCAAAAAAATGGAAGAATATTTATTCTATCAAGATATCCTTTGTAATGATGAATGTGTATCAGAGTTGCTTGGAATGAGTGCGAACATAAGTTTTGCAGTAGAGTTGCCTCAGACACAACAAGATATTGATTTTGTTATTATTATTGTAGATCTTTTTTCAGATAACATATTTTGTTTGATTCCACAAGATAATGAACACATCACATCTTGCAGACGTATACTTCGAGCAGGTAGTTTATCTTTGTGGTATACTCACAAGCATTACTTTATACTGATTTGTAAAATTCTTTGGCCACTTTTGAGGGGCTTTGTTAAGTACGTTAAGCACAAAAATTTCGTTCAGTTCAGCAGTGCACCCGCAAAAACAAATGCCAGATAGAAGCGGTGAATCATAACTTTGAAAATTTTTTCAGGATTTTTTCTATAAAAGAACTTTCAACGGTGGGATCCATGTCTCACCAAAGAAGAAGAATAAACCTCTCCTACACAAGGGGAATGACGTAGGATCTTCATTGCTTTTGTAAGATTCCACAGAATCGCGAAACAACTGAATTCTGCTTTCACGCAAGTCTCCTGAACCAGAAATCGCGGTTCTCGCTATCCTAGACTTTCGATGTCTGATTTTAGCCTTTTTCTATCTTTTTCTTCTCCTAAATTCTGTCAGCTATTTTTTTTCTTAAAATAAGATTTTAAAATTTAAATTTAGTATAATATATAATATAATTTTAATTTTGTGAAAATGATATTCTTTATTTTTGAAAAATGATGAGACCAGATAGACCTCATTTATTTAATAGTTTAAATAGCTGAGCACGATACCATAAATGATATATTATCTCGAAGAATGATCGTATCACTTATTAGTAGGCTTAACTATTTAAACTTAAAAATTTATGACTCTATTTTGGTCTTCGAATTTATAGTCGATAAGTTCCCATATCTAATGCACAAATTAGATAGGGCTTAGATTAATCTGGGTTCTTAATTCCTTATAGATGCAAACCCCTATAGTTAGTTACATCCCAAATAACGGGAGTCATTTGAGAAAACTCTCGATAATGATTAGAGGTTTCGTCTTCAAGAGATATCTTGTTAAATTAGTTTATTTATGATTGTGCATTTCTTTCTACTGGATATCGCCTTTTGATTTATTGAAGCATTTTGTGCTGGCTTACCTTTTGGATTTAATTTGCTTCTCTTGGTGTTATGCTTTACATTTTTTGAAAAAATTGGCAGTCTTTGGTTTTTTGAGATAGTTGTCTTGGTCCTAGGATTTTTGCTGCCTTAGGTTGAAACAATTTCATTTATTTCTCTTTAGCTTTGGCATGGATCACCATAGTTTAAAGTAGGGTAGCGAGTACTTTTTCCAACACCTTGTACCGACTTTTATTTTTATTTATTTCTTTCTTTTATAACTTCATTGATGGGCTTATTGCAATTCTGCTTTCACAAATGCACATTCAACAAGTTATCAACACTAGGTGGCAAAATTATATTTATACGTGATGGAGCTACCCGAGAGCCCTCTTTCCACGATTATGTTACAGTACTGTGATTTTACTATAGTACCGCGATTTTTCTACGCTACTTGCGACCTTATATGGATTTGGCGCCTCATTTCAATAGTGGGCCCAATCCTAATTACCTAGGGCTTATATATTTGATTCCTATGTTTAGGTTTTCAACTTGGATGGTCTTTCTATTCAGGACAGCCATTAACATCCTGATTTCTCCCTTTTAAGGTTGTATCCTAAGGCGGGTGGTGCTCTAGTTGTAGCTCATCCGAGGTGGTGATCTTCTTTCAAGGGTTGTGTGGTTCTTCGGCTATAGCTTGTTTCCGAGGGAGTTTTTATCCTTTCCTGACTTCTCCGCAACCTTTCCTCCGCTACTCCTGCCGCTGTCTTTGCTACGATCACCGAAAAACAATCCTCCTTGGTCGTTTCTCTACAACTTCCTGCTGTCCCAGAACTCTGTTCTCGCCGTCATCACTATTCTAGTTTCCGTCTTTAATGCCGGTGTTTCTGTTTAGGAAAATCATCAATATTCAGGTTTCTTTCTTTCAAAACAGTATCCAAAGGCTGGTGGTACTCTGGCTGTAGCTTGTTCAGGGTGGTGATCTTCTTCCAAGGGTCGAGTGATGCTTCGGCTATAGCTCTTTTTTGAGGGAGTATTGATCCTTCTCCGACTTCTCTATCTTTCCTCTGTTACCGCTCTCGCCGCCTTCGCTGTAATCATCGTTTTCCTGCAACTAAGGTTGTATCCTAAGGCGGGAGGTGCTTTAGTTGTAGCTCGTCCGAGGTGGTGATCTTCTTCCAAGGGTTGTGTGGTGCTTCGGCTATAGCTTGTTTCCGAGGGAGTTTTTATCCTTTCCTGACTTCTCCGCAACCTTTCCTCCGCTACCACTACCGCTGTTTTTGCTACGGCCACCGAAAAACAACCCTCCGTGGCCGTTTCTCTACAGCTTCCTGCTGTCCTAGATCTCTATTCTCGTCGTCATCACTATTCTAGTTTCCGTCTTTATTGCCGGTGTTTCTGTTTAGGACAATCATCAATATTCAGGTTTCTTTCTTTCAAAATTGCATCCAAAGGCGGGTGGTGCTCTGGCTGTGGCTTGTCCAAGGTGGTGATCTTCTTCCAAGGGTCGAGTGATGCAACGGCTATAGCTCATTTTTGAGCGAGTATTTATCCTTCTCCGACTTCTCCATCTTTCCTCCGTTACCGCTGTCGTCGCCTTTGCTGTAATATCGTTTTCCTGCAGCTTCTTGTTGTTCCAGCCCTCACTCTTTGCCACCATCACTGTTCCAGTCTCTCTTTGCACCATCACTGTTCCAGCCTCCCTCTGTGCTGCTGCTGCGATTCCAGCTCTCCCACCTGCTGCCATCACTATTCTAGCCGTCCAGGACCCTTCCCATAGCAGTTTTGCTACTATTCCAGCCGCAAGCGATTTTCCCCTCAACAAACTTACCGCTGTCCCTGCCTTCCCAGCCTTCCCAGCCTTCCCAGCCACCATTTCTCCCCTCCCCACTCACTGCCAAGCCCGGACAGCTGTTTTTGGCTGTTGTGCCACTGTTTTTCTACAGTCTAGTCCCTTTCGTATCCTACCACCAGCTTCCCATGTCCCCCCTACGACCTACACCACCATCTTGAAGTTGCCCCAGTCAGGATGATATGTCGTAGTTGTTGCTATTTCCTATTTCCACGTGTCTGGTTGTAAATTCATATTTGAATTCAATAGTTATGTTTGTTTTCTTAATATTGTTTTAGTTAACTCTGGTAACAATATGTATGCGGGAAAAATTTTAATTCTCCTCCTAATTAGATTTTTATTGTTATGATTTTCGATTGCGTGATCAATACCATTCATTCTCTTAAACAACGATGAAACTTGGGGCTTACATAGACTTTAAAAGTTGTAAGATTATTTGATGAGGGTATGAGAAATTAGTCATGGCTTTGAAGTGTAGAGGTTTTTAAATTATGTGGAACTTGATACGTGAGTTTTTGATGATATTTAGATTATATTTAATGTTTTTGATAGGTGAAATAAATGGGTCAAACTAGTCTTTAAAGATAGATTTCATATATCATCCATCATCTCATGCTTGATGAAGCTTGTTGTATAATAATTTTTCTGCTATAGATCTCAACTAATTGGGCAATAGTGAATTTGAAGACTATATAAAGCATCAGATGCAAGAATAAAATTATATAGCGAGCAATGAAACAAATGAGTTTGTTCACTAACATAACCTCTATGATCTCTCAACTTTTATGTTGTTTTCTATCTTGATTATTTGAACTTGTCAAACATGTCTTTCTTTATTTCTTTGTAGGTCGTTGGCCTTCGGAAGAAGTGCTAACTTATTTTTGCATTAAAAGATGTGAAATGTTCAGGTATGTAGATGTAATATAAATTTTTTTTTAATTGTCTTATTAGTTTTGCTTGTGGGTCTCTCAAATTGTGCTCGTTTGTTTCATCTTTGCAATATTTTTTCATGTTATTGCTTCTTTTCTTATTTCCTCTATCATAACAACCCAACGTACTCTCTTCTTATGCCTACCCATGCCCTAATCCTTTGTAATGCCTCACCATGAAAACCTAAGTTTAACCGCTTCTACAACCTATTTGATGTAGGCTTACTCGGTTTTATGTTTTCTATTGAACTAATATGATGCTTAATATCAATATATGCAAAGGAAATTAAGAATTAACATATCACAAGCTGCTAAATAATTCAACCACGTGCTTTTCAAAGTAACTCTAATTTCTTGTTCAATTTTCCAATACATGACTGATTCCTATTGCATGTGATCAGTTGCGGACATATAAGAAATAGGTGAAAGGACGAAGAATAAAAAACAAAAAGAATTGACAATTGGCTCAAGATATGAGGTTAAATAAGATCTTGAAAGTTGGATTCTGATACACCTCGGGACTCAATGAGCAAACAATGGCGAAATAGAAATTGATAGGTGAAAAAATCAAACAAGGGCTGCTCCTACAAAAAAAAAAAAAAAGAAAAAAAAAACAAAGGAAAACAAGCAAGATATGAGGGTGATCTACTATTCGAGAGGTAGCCCGGTTCTCCCACAACCCTAGTCACTAAGAACATCACAAGAAGAAGAAAAAACACAGCAGCCCAAAAAACATGCATAAAGAAGACAAACCATAGGTTACTCCCACTGCGATTCAAAACATTCCTTCCAACTTTCTCTCCAAACTCCTCCAATTTCTCCTTCTTGAGTATGTGATTAAGGCCCTCGTGGACCCCTCCTGCTCCCAGTCTTCTTTGGCCACGACAAGTTGTTGTTCCTTACCTTCTTTAGCTGCGGCAGATTGCCGATCAACCTTTCTCGCGATGCAGACAGTCCAGACGGGCAGGATGGACTAGTCTTGTTACGCTCGGGTCTGTTACAGGCGTGGGCGTAACAATACTCCCTTCCCAGAGAAATACCTTTTCCTCAAGGTATACAGATGGAAACTGCTTGTGGATCATCTCATAAGACTTCAATGTTGCTTCATAGTTTGACAGTTATTTTCACTTAACCAGTACCTCTTTTGCTCCCCCTATTCCTTGGCACACTCCTTCGATCCCTAATGGCTCTAGAATCACCTCCAAGTCCTTCATCAGCCTCAATGGTAGTGGAGACGAGGGTGTATGATTTTCAATCGCACGTCGTAGATGTGATACATGGAAGGCTAGGTGCAGTATAGACGATAGTGGTAATTTCAAATGATAAGCCACTGTCCCGATGCGTGTCATCACCTGATATAATCCAAAATATCGTAGTGAAAATTTCCACTTATGGTCAACTTCTTTTGTCGGTAGGGTTTCAACTTCAAGTAAACTATGACTCTTGGTTCAAACCGCACATCTCCTGTGTTCATCTGCATTTCTCTTCATGATTTGTTGAGCTATCAGTAAATGCTTTTTTAGCTCTGCTAGTATCCTGTCTTTCTCCTCCAAGTACTGATCAACGCTCGATACCGGTATTGTGCTATGCCCATAATGTATCAAGTGAGATGGATCCCATCCATACCATATTTTGAAAGGGTGGTTTGTGCTTCAGTGTGATACGAAGTATTATACTAATATTAGACCCACACAATCCACTTGGTCCATTGTTTCGGCGTATCATATACAAACAATGCAGGAATGTTTCCACACTCAGTTGACCACTTTCGTCTGTCCATCGGTCAGAGAATGCTATACGGTGCTCCTCTTAAGGACTGTCCCTTGCAACCTAAATAGCTCTTTCCAGAAGTGGCTGAGAAACACCTTGTCCCTATCCGATATTATTGATTCCGACACTCCGTGCAAACAAACCACCTCCCGGATAAACACTGTTGCGACTGAGACTACAATGTAGGGATGTCGTAAAGGAATGAAAAGTGCATACTTACTCGGGCGATCCACAAGCACCATGAACACCTTGAAACCTTCTGATTGTGGCAACCCCTCAATAAAATCCATCGTCACTTCTTCCTAACGCTTTCTCAGTAATGCCAATGGCTATAGTAAACTTCTGGTGCCGTAGTCAAGTACTTGTGTTGCTGACATGCATCGCTTTTTGTCACCATATCCTCGACATCTCTGCTCATTCCCACCCAATAAAGCTCTGTCGCTAGTCGACTATAGGTCTTCTGCACCCCCGACTGTCCCTTGATCGCACTATCATGAAACTCTTATAATAATCTGGGAATATACTTTGACGACTTGGGTATCACTAATCGCCCTCGGTGGAGCTGTTGCTTTCCACTCAATGAATATCCTGGATGACTGTTCAGATCATGTAGTATCTCGGCTCTTATCTTCCTCAGCTCCTTATCCACTTTGCTCTTTTGTCTCAAGACTTCCCAACCTTGGATCTAAGGTACCGATAGGGTCGTTAATTGAGGTTCCTCCACCTTTCATGACAATGCGTTGACTGTCTTGTTTTCCAATCTCGACTGGTACTGAATCTCGAAATCATATCCCAGTAGCTTAGATAGCTATCTCTGATGTTCCTTAGTAACCATCTGCTACTACAGGGGTTATTTTAAACTCCTCTGATTTGTCCAGACTAAAAAATATTGTCCCAACTGATAGAACCGACACTTTTGAATGACCAAGACAATTGCCATCAATGCCCATTCAAATACTTACTTTAGCCCGCTTTGGTTGTAAGAACCTGACTTATGTAGTCAATCGACCTCTAATCCTGCATAAGCGCGACTCCCAATACTTACCTGACACATCCGTTTCCACCACATGATTTACTGAAATATGGAAGTGCTAATACCAGTATGCTAGTCACGACTCTCTTCAGATGTTCAAATGCCCGTGTTGTTGCTTCCCCTCATTTGAAATTGTCTTTCTTCGATTGCTCCATCAGTGGCCATGCTATCATGCCATATCCTCTCACAAACTTTCGGTAGTAGTCGGGGAAACGGGGAATCCCTAGCTCTTTCAAACTCCTTGGTAAGAGCCAATCAACCATAGCCTCGATCTTGGACTAATCCACCACTACTGTTCTGGTCACTATATGTCCTAGGTACTCCACCTGTAACTGTGTAAAAGAATATCTCTTTATGTTGGCATTCAATTAGTGTTCCCTCATGATCTCCAGGACTGTCCTTAGGTGCCCCACATGATCTGCTTTTGTACGATTGTAAAACAAAATGTCATCAAAGAAAACCATGATAAATTTCCGGAGGTAGGATTGAAAATCCCTATTTATGAGAGATTGAAATGTCGCCGGGGCATTGGTGAGGCCAAACGAAATCACTAAAAACTCATAATGTCCTTCATCTGTCTTGAATGCTGTCTTATGCACATCTGCTGGATTCATCCTAATCTGGTGGTATCTCGACTTAAGATCAATTTTTGAGAAAATGACTGCCACATGAAGTTCATCCAATAACTCATCAATCACAAGAATAAAAAAACTTGTCCAACACTGTCTATTTGTTCAAAGCCCGATAGTCCATGCAGAATCTAAAAAATATATCTTTTTCACCAACATACTGGATTGAAAAAAGGGCTCACACTTGACCTGATAATTTTGGCCTTGAGCACCTCTTAGATCAGCTTCTCTATCTCAACTTTCTGAATTTAGGGATGCATGTATGGTCTGACACTGATGGGGGAAACACCCTCTTTCAAGGTAATATTGTGCTCATGCTCTCTCGGGGGAGGTAACCTGCTCGGCTGTTAGAAAACATCTATAAATTGCTGTAGGAGTTGCTGGGCCCCTTTACGAAACTCTGCCAACTCTGAATCTTGAATTTTCTCAATGCTCTACAACTCCACCGAATATCTCAACCCTGCTCAAATCGACTTGACCATGGTTTTGAGCGATACCATGTTTTGCATAAACGAACATCTCCTTTCAGCATCACCTTCCTACCCTCCACCTAGAACTCCATCATTAGGGCCTTCCAATACACCTTCTTCTCCCCAAGCGTTCACATCCACTTCATCCTCAAATTTACATCCGTGCTGCCCAAATCTAAGGGAAGGAAGTCCTCCACCACCTGTAGACCATGGAGTGTTAGAATCAATCCCTTGCAGATTCCACTACTTTTCTCCACCTTCACTGTCCCCATTATCACGTCAAAGCTCCCTGTAGTCACGAGCTCCAACCCCAACTTCTCTACGACTTGATTTGAGATGAAGTTATGTGTGGCCCCACTATCTACTAGCACCATAATCGGCTATTTCCCAATCCACCCCCTCACCTTCATGGTGTGATTTGGGATAAATCCCACCATCGAATTAAGGGACACCTCTGCCACATCCAAATGCAGATGCTCCTCCATCGCGCCCTCCTATGATTCTTCGCTCTCCATATCCTCTGTGCTAAAAAAATCTAAAGGGTGCGCTCCTTGCAATGATGGACTGAGGCATATTTCTCATCACAGCGGTAACATATTCCTTTTGCTTTTTTATTCCGCACTTCTGCATTTGTGAAATTACCCTCGCGACGGGTCCCTGTATTCTTCTCCTTTGGCGTTTCTTTCGAAATGACAGTCTGGGTCCTCGGTGTCGTGACTGTGAAGGTGCTTTTGTAGAATCCTTCAATGTTGCCGCCTTTGTTGTCTTTTTCACCTATTTCTTATCCTATATCATCAGGGTGAGCTCTATCATTTCTCTCAATCCCGACGGTCTCAAGGGGCAGATGACTGCTCGTTTGTCGGGTTTTAGGTCGTTCACGAAATTTCATTCCAGTTTTGCTGCAGAAATCCCCCTCAACCTTCTTGATAAGAGCTTAAACTTCTCTTGGAATTACGTTACCGTTCCCTCTTGAGTTAGAGCATAGAATTGCTCGTGTAGATCTCCTTCCCGAATGACTCAAAAATGCTCCAACAAGCAATTTTTAAACTCCTCCCATGAGTGCATCAGATACCTTGA